CAGTGCAGCCTTCAACAGCAGATTATTGATTTCAAAGATTAGTTTTGTTATTTTTGGCATTTGGTTAAACGTGCCTTAACATTTCTGTAAAGTCCATAGGTGGTCTGGCTGCAGACATGTTTCTTTTTCTTTGGCATAGACCTGCTGTCAGTTTTTTATGTGTGATTTTTGTGGAGTATATTACTAATAAAACAAAAATGCAATCTCATAAAAACTCAAAGCTCTCCCTCACATGGCCGTGATATCACATGTCGCTTGTTGTATTTATTTAGTTTTTTTCCCCCTCTTGTCTCTCTGAATTAATTCTTTGAGGTATTTCTTCTTTCCCATATAGGCAATGGAGTGCCTTCTCCTGGAGGCCTATTAGTTTGATTCTTGTGATGTCATATATTAGCTTATTTTCATCTTCATTGCCATTAGAGCTGAAACATTTAATTGGATTAATCATGATTAATTGATCATTGAAATAATTGTCAACCAATTTAGTAATCAATTATTCGTTAACTGGACTGTATAAACTGGAAAAAATGCCTGTAGCTGACAGAGCGACCTAGCCTGACGTAGTCCTACTCAATTCTAGTCAGAATATGAGTCTGATACTGCTCCATAGAGCTGTGATTATGGGGCGTGTTTTGAACGAACCAGGAAAAAAAATGCCTCTGCACTCAATTGGATAGACCTACAACCAATAAGAGCAACGGAGTGCGTGACGTATGTTAAGCGACACATAGTTGTTGTCAACAAAAATCAAAGCGTGCAGTTTCACGCCTAGAATAAGAAGATGAGACTTGATCGCGTTTCTCTGTTCCTCTTTTAAAATGAATTTCCTGTCGATATCTTCTAGAACAGACCTAATAGCAGAATCTACTCACCTCAACTCTCCAGCGGCAGCCATTGTTGTTGTCACCCAAGCGCGCTTTGGTGACATGGTTGATTACGTTACTGTTGATCATCTGTCCATCATCGTATAAAGCCGCCCTGACAATTTGATTGGCCCGCCAGATATTGTGCGAGCATACTCGCGCTACTACTGAGCAATGCCAGACCGAACCTCCCGACCTCAAACGTTGTGGGCGGGACTAATTTCGGAATGGCACCCAGGCTAAGAGCGACCCACTTAGAGCAGCAATTATACCCAATAAATATACACTACCCGGCCACTTTATTAGGTACCCCATGCTAGTAACGGGTTGGACCCCCTTTTGCCTTCAGAACTGCCTCAATTCTTCGTGGCATAGATTCAACAAGGTGCTGGAAGCATTCCTCAGGGAGTTTGGTCCATATTGACATGATGGCATCACACAGTTGCCGCAGATTTGTCGGCTGCACATCCATGATGCGAATCTCCCGTTCCACCACATCCCAAAGATGCTCTATTGGATTGAGATCTGGTGACTGTGGAGGCCATTGGAGTACAGTGAACTCATTGTCATGTTCAAGAAACCAGTCTGAGATGATTCCAGCTTTATGACATGGCGCATTATCCTGCTGAAAGTAGCCATCAGAAGTTGGGTACATTGTGGTCATAAAGGGATGGACATGGTCAGCAACAATACTCAGGTAGGCTGTGGCGTTTCAACGATGCTCAATTGGTACCAAGGGGCCCAAAGAGTGCCAAGAAAATATTCCCCACACCATGACACCACCACCACCAGCCTGAACCGTTGATACAAGGCAGGATGGATCCATGCTTTCATGTTGTAGACGCCAAATTCTGACCCTGCCATCCGAATGTCGCAGCAGAAATCGAGACTCATCAGACCAGGCAACGTCTTTCCAATCTTCTATTGTCCAATTTCGATGAGCTTGTGCAAATTGTAGCCTCAGTTTCCTGTTTAGCTGAAAGGAGTGGCACCCGGTGTGGTCTTCTGCTGCTGTAGCCCATCTACCTCAAAGTTCGACGTACTGTGCGTTCAGAGATGCTCTTCTGCCCACCTTGGTTGTAACGGGTGGTTATTTGAGTCACTGTTGCCCTTCTATCAGCTCGAACCAGTCTGGCCATTCTCCTCTGACCTCTGGCATCACCAAGGCATTTCCGCCCACAGAACTGCCGCTCACTGGATGTTTTTTCTTTTTCGGACCATTCTCTGTAAACCCTAGAGATGGTTGTGCGTGAAAATCCCAGTAGATCAGCAGTTTCTAAAATACACAATCATGCCACGTTCAAAGTCACTCAAATCACCTTTCTTCCCCATACTGATGCTCGGTTTGAACTGCAGGAGATTGTCTTGACCATGTCTACATGCCTAAATGCACTGAGTTGCCGCCATGTGATTGGCTGCTTAGAAATTAAGTGTTAACGAGCAGTTGGACAGGTGTATCTAATAAAGTGGCCGGTGAGTGTATATAAACGTAAAAAAATATATAAAAATTTTGCATTTAAGATAAAAAATGAAATAAAATGTTTCTGATTCACCTGGGGTTTTTTTTCGTAAAAAATCTTTAAGGAATCTTTGACTATTCTATGATTAATCGATTAATTGAAGAAATAGTCGACAGATTAATTTATTTGCAAACTTATCGTTAGTTGCAGCCCTAATTGCCGTATTAAAAGACTTTGTATTGTCTTTCTGTGGAGCTTGGTTAATGAAAATATATGTACTCTGTTCCGTTTTTAAAAAGGTTTCTAAAGTCCAATTGCAGTTTTCGATGGTTGCCAAAAAAGTTGTATGGACTGCGTAGACCTCACCCTTAGGCCGCAGCAGCTGTAAGGAAAATGGCTAATTGCATTCTCCAGTTTACTGACTTGTTCTTATTGTTGCTACTCGGAGAGAGTTTTAACGAAACATTTGATTCATCAGAAGGTAATTTCAAAATTAGCTTTGACTTGTATTGTTTTCCAAGTTGAAGTAATTGGAAAAAAGGAAAGATCTATAAGATTAAAATGTATATACTTGTTTAGTTATTGCTTATTGTATCAAGATGCACATATTTAGATTCATAATACTTCAGCATTAACTATCTTTAATTCTGTCTTAAAAGTAATATGTCGGCAGCATTACACTGATCCTACTAAATCCTCATTTTTTCTAGTTTTTTATTGGAGGCTTTTAATTCGCCAACGGAAGTACATTGATTAAAGAAGTGCTCCCAATCTGTGTTCTCATACATTTTGCATAAAGCGACCTCATATTATTTCTGTAACTGCCAAACAAATATAGCCAATAACCTGATAATGTTAATTCATGTCATGCATCTGGGTATTTTCATGAAGGTTCACTCACCTCTTCATGCTGTATGCTTGGAGCGCCTGACTAACCTTTTTTTCTGATTTATTCTCCTAAACATTATTTAACCACTTGAGGGTGTTAATGAAGTTATGAGCCACATTCATGGCCGCCTAAGGAGAAGGCAACCAATTGTGTTTTTAAGGGCCCAGCGTAGAGTAGGGGCTTGATATTTCATTGTTGCATAACATCTTTTCCTCTTTATTTTTGTTCCAATTTTGCCTTAAAACAGAGCAAACCTCTTAAGCCTAACCCATATAATGGCTTGACTGCCAGTTCTTGGAGTTTAAGTTGACCCAATAAAGCTCAAAATGCCTGGAATAGGTAAAGAAAGCCTATCCCATAACTTGTATCAGGCCCTGCCAATGCTTTCAGCTGTCCAGCCTACATTATGCATGTTTTGCATGAAATGCCAATGTAGTTTGTAGAGTAAACATTGCACTTATAGAACAGTTCTAAGAACTTTTTAATTTATAATCGGATTTAATTGAGACGACCGTTTGCTTGTGATGCTACTGTTAAAACTTTGCTTCCCTTCATTCTACTTCATCTGATGCTTTTAGATAGATCAACATAAAGTGTACTGGATTACGACCTTTGAGAGGTTGGGCCAAAGTGTTTTTTATTTTTCTCAGAAGTTGCATGCACATTTGCTAGAGAAGCTTACCCACTCCCACGTCTTCTCAGTGGGAGCCTGCCCATGTCTTTGAGATTCCCCATACCTGTGTAATTATGTTATGCTCACACATCACACTTGAAACACCCACTAAGCCTCAGCTGTCCGCGCAGTACGTAAAAACCACCTACACGTTCTTTTTAGAGCCACAGTCAGTTCCTTCCTCCATGTCTGTTAATAACCCTTTTCTGTCCTGTCTGTCAGACGCTGTGTGTTGGAAAGTCTCACCAGGCTGCGTGCATGTGTTGGACAAAAGGATGTGAGACACAACTGTGCTGGGGGTGTTGGTGTGCAGTTGAGCCTTGTTTCCCAGAGGCCACAGAACAGCTGCTAATCCACACGCACACACACACACACACCTACGCATATGAATCCACTCTGTCTGGAACTGAGAGTGCTGGGATTCACAAAGGAACCAGGCTGTTTCATGTGTGTGTGACTGTCTTGTTTCAGCCGGTCTGAAATAGCTGGTCTCACAGTGAGTCACCGCTCCTGCCTGAAGGGGAGGAATGGAGCCGGTGTGTGAGCGAGTCACTCCAACTTTCTGTGCATACACTTTTGTGAACTTGTTTGCCTGTGCCCTCCTGATGACAGCACACTCTTGACTTGTTGCTTTTATCAGGACAGAAAAGAAGTGTTGGACATGTTTCTGTCGTTGTCGTCCCACCGGCTTTAGCGCTGGGCCTCGTGGCTCGTTTTGTTTACCGCTGTGTTTGCCTTGTTGATGGATATTGATTCAGACTAGATGTAATCTGATGGGAATAACCTTCAACATTGTATGTGTGCGTTTTAAATTGTCCATCCTGGGATGTAAAATGGTGGATTGCAGGCGCTGGACTGAATGTGACAATTGGTTTATACACATATGAGTTATCCTCCCAAAGGGTTGGCTCTCTTTCTTAAAGATACAGGTTTGAAATAATATTTAATGCAATTTTGTTTGAATTTTAGTGGATATGTTGGTGGTAACACTATTATGAATAACCCTGTTTTGTTTTGAAGTAATTAAGTAGCTCTAAATGACAAGTTCAAGACCCATTTGACAACTTCGGGCTTTAAATGTTGCCGCTTTGCTCATTGCTGGATTTTCGTCCTAGGTCTGCACATGGGGGCGGGCAAAAGCAAGCCCAAGGAGCCGGGCCAGCGCTCCATGAGCCTGGATGGTACTATAGGCACAGGCTCAGACAGCGGACACTTCCACCACCTGGGCCCCACTCAGCAGACCCAGACCCCCAATAGAAGCCCCGCCGTCGGCACAGGAAGGCGGGGGTACCAGGGGCAGCATCAGCATGCCCCAACAAATACCCCGGAACTAGCTCTCTTCGGAGGTGTGGACCACACAGGAACTGTTACATCTCCTCAGAGAGGACCTCTGTCAGGTAGGAAAGTGCATGACATTTTGACACGTTTGGTTTTCTGTGTTATGCAACTGTTGTAATGGACCGCCTGGCACTTATTCAGTCAAGGTTCATGAAGTCCTCAGTGCACGGAAATATTCTGAACATTTATGGATTGTGCATTAAGAGAGACAAACATTTCAAGCAACCTAACATCTTTTGAAGCTGTTTTCTGCTCTGTATATCTTGGGTTTAAATTATATAGGTTGCAGAGAAGTTGTATTTTTTTATGTTAAGTTCTAATAAAGGTAAGATAAGATTTTTTCTCTCCGAAAAGTTAAAATCGTTGACAGTTAAGCAGAGGGACTGGAGTGCATCTCCAGCAGTGACTGGGTGAGGGGGAGGCAGATGCCTTACAGGTTGCTCCAATTTATCACAGGTCAACATGGAAAAAAGAAAAAAAAACACGCACACACACTCACCCATTATCTTAGATAGACATTTTAACCTTACATAAATTATGGACTGTGAGAAAAAGCAGAGATGCCCAGTGGGGGTGTCCCAATGCAATTTTTTAATTTCCCTTACAATACCAATATTGCATCTTTGAGTATTGACCGATTACCAATATTAACCCAATACAGTATCGGTACCCATCACACATAATTTAATTGCTTGTTTTGTAGCATGGATTATTAGAAGGGGTTAGATCAAGCAATAATAATCAAATGGAGAACAATAGTCAACAACAGACTGTATGAAAACTACTCACCCATTTATCAGTAAAGGAACTGGGGGCAGGAATCTTAAAATAATACACATGCTTGTCTTTTCTTTTATGCTAATGCGGGTGATTTAGTGTTAGAAACCAAAATAAACCAACCGGACAGATTACCTCTTCATTACGTTTAATTACATAATACACTGCAATTCAGGGACCGAATTTCCCACACAGTCCTACAGATGGGACGTCCGTTGGCACTGCATGCGCACCCCCAACAGCTTTGATACAGGAAGTCACGGTTGTTTTAGAAGTAATAGGACTAGAAGAAGAAAACTAAAATAAACATTACTTAGTTACGTCGTTACTTAACATGTTGCTTGTTGCTGTGATAAAATATGTACGGTGGTCTTGTAGTAATTGGTGTTGCACCATCAGCTGTGCAGGGCTGTGAATGCGGCCGGTCCATGAAGCAATCCTGCGTGTGCCCATCCCATCTTGGCTGGTGGCTGCAGTTACCCAGTCATGTCACTCCTGAGCCTCATTTCCTCATCCTGCCTCTAGTTCCTTTAACCAATGTGTTACATTAACTTTTAACAGAAGCAGAGTTTTACTATCTGCTTGCTTCTAGATGCAAGCTGATATACTCCGATATTTTCTTTTGGCTGATATCGTACCAGTATCCGTTATCGGATGGAGTCAACACTAATACTCAGTAAGAGCCCACAGATGCATGCAGATAACCCAATTTAGAAACACTCTGACTGGTATTTGAACCCACGACCATTTAGTGTTATAGAGTGTACTCGTATCTCTTCAGGCAGCAATCATATCATATCGAAAGCACAGAAAAATCGTAGTAGAACCAAGAAATAAAGCCTGTATGCCTTTTTATATTTATTTTAAGCGGAGAAAGAAGCTTGTGAAGCAACAGGAAGGCGTCAGCAGCCTTTGTGTCCAGATAAATAATTACCTGCATACAGCAGCATAATTAGGGAAAGTCAAAGTTGCTTTATTATCAATGCTGTATTTTCCCCACTGTTCCAGTCCTAGAGCTTCATTTTAAAAATAGGGGCAACAAAAATCTAACTTGATAAAATCAGAAACGTTTTAACCTATTCCAATAACCGCTCATTAAGATAAATTAAGATTGTCCTTTATAAATAAAGCAAACAAGTACTTAAAAGCTCTTTAGTCTTCACTGCAAAAACAACCCAGATTTAATTCAACATTTCTTAAATTAAGTGTATTTACCCTTAATTTGAGTAGGTAAATAATCTGCCAATGGAATGAGTATTTTTACTCTTAAAATCAGATAATTAGATAATATGAACTTGAAATAAAAAAATTAAATTGTTTTGTCTTGTTTTAAATATAAATTGTCTTGTTCGATTGGCAAAGTGTCTCACTTACCTCTTCAATCCAAATGCAGCTATTTTAGGTAAAAGTGACTTACCTAAAATAGCTGCATTTTTAAGATGAACCTTTTTTTTTGCAGTGTACTCCTCATTAGATTGACTTAAAGCTTGTCTCTGTGCCTCAGTGTCCTGTATTTACCTAGTGATGTTCAAGCTGTCTGGACCAGCCAGATGGTTGGGTTAATGTTGCTTCATGCAGAGAAAATACCCTGCTGATGTATCAGCAGCAATTTTCCTAACTAATACATCCTGTCATGCATCTAATGAGCCAATCAATGATTTGCTGAAGGGTAAAGGTTTAATGTTGAAGCCAATATGCACAATATTCTTCTCAAATATTTAAAACCTTGTTATCTGGTTGTCTTTCAGGGGAAATTGGTCAAAGGATGTATGGATATCAGTATTTATTAATAAACCCTGGGAAAGTGTTTTTTAGCTCACAAAACCTAAAAAAAAAAACTCATTCAAGGTGAGGTCTCTGCTATGCGTGTCAGGAGGAAGCACCCTGTTATTTGTTGAGTTTTTAATTATAGTCCTGTTTAAATAAATATGTCTGTATTCCTGGTTTCTTGCAGGAGGCGTCACTACATTTGTGGCGCTGTACGACTACGAGTCGCGGACGGTGAGTGACCTGACCTTCAGGAAAGGCGACCGGCTGCAGATTGTTAACAACACGTAAGAATCTCTACCCGTTTCCATCAGTTCTTCACTCTCCTACGGACTCGATATTCCTCTTTTACACCAGCTGTCTCAGTTAGCTGATGTTTAACAGAACGTCTGTGACATATTCAGGGCGAATTACACCGGGAATAATCATTACAGTAACTGAACACATTTGTCTAGTCTGTCATTTGAATGATTTCCTCTGCTACTGATTTCTGGCCACTAAATGAGATTCCTGACTCCAATCCTCACCTCCTTATGCTGGGTGTGTACTATTACACATAATTACACACACTATCCTAAGGTAGACTCCAACAGTGAGCCAGACAGTTTATGACACATTGCTCAGCAAACTGAATAAACTAGTGTTCTGCAAACTATGAAATTCAGATTTTGATCTTTGAAGCTTGCATTTCCCTCACTAATTCTTCTGCTATTAAACATTGGTACTGCTAAGATCTTCAGGCATCCAGTTAAAGCTCCTATGACAAAAAATAAATGTTACATGTTAAAGTAGATGTGCTTAGTAGATTGTTTTTACATGAACAGTGACGGCCACAGTGAAGGGTTGGAGCTGAGAACAGTGGAGCAAAACCCTCCCATCTGTTTACACAAGCGAAGGAGATGAGCGTTTCGTTGACGCGTTCTCCTTCCATTTGGGCCGCTGCCATCCTCGTAATCTTTTAGTCTCGTCAAAGAGAGCGTGTCATGCTGAGATGCAGGCTTGACTTCTTTTCTTTGGTACCGATTAGACCTGAAACTTGTGCCTTCTGGCTCTTATCAAACTCTTAAGTTGTTAAGCCAACACGGAAGGAACAGAGTAAATATTTAAGTAGGTAGATAACAAATATATAGGTTGCAAAAAATCTCTATTAGAGGTAGACCGATATGTCGAGTGACCGATATTTTTGTCCAATATTGGCTGTTTTTTTTTGTTTTTTTTTATCTTGCAACGACTGATAAGTTCAAGCATTTGCTGATGTATGTGTGAGTCACACAAGTACATGGATTGCCAATCCCTCCATTTGCAATCTATTATTCAATTTGTTCATGTTTTATTTTTGTTTAAATTGTGAGTCTTAACATTTATTGCCATTGTTTCATTTTCAATATATAACCGAAGGAAGAAAAAGCAATGTCAGCTTCAAGAATCTGGCCCCAAAAATCAGCAAAACATATTCAGTTCAGATTAGTTAGACCTATAATTATTGGCATCAGCCTTAAAAAACATCTATCAGTCGAATTCTAATCCTTAATGGGTGATTAAATACTAAAATCTTTTACCTTTTGTGCTAAAAGGCTGTAAAGTCTTCTGTCATCTGGAACTGCATCGTTGGGCTGTCAACCAAAAAACAGACTTTAAAGGGTTTATTTATAGAACAATTGGTAAATTATTTCTGTTTAGGTTTTTTTGTTTTCTTTTTAGTTCTTCGGATTTAAACTGACATCCCGGAATAAAATGGATATTAAAACAGCCCCACAAAGCAGTCCTGCAGCATGGCCCCCTCTGCTCCCCCTCCCTCCTCTGTGCCGTGCTGCTCGCCTTGCCGTGTCTCTTTGCTCTGTTTTGATGCGTCTGCTGTGTCTGTTATCTCTCCTTCTCTCTTCCTTTCTCATGCTTCATGGTTTCTTCTAGGAAAAAGTACAGCTTCAGGTCAGTACTGTTGCCTCGTGCAACCTTTCTTTTGTAGTTCTTTATTTGCTAGTGCATGGATTGAAACGAATAGTCTCTTGGTTATACCACAGAATTCTACCTGAAATCACACCTAGAAGAGGTTTGTGGTGTTGCTTGCTTTTGAATGTAATTAATGCCTCTGAAATTAAAGCAACAGTTCCACTTTTTTTTATGTAAAGCAGAATAAAGGTTACCTGGGTTAAGGTTAACTCAACACTCTGAGGGAATTGGTGTGGTTCAAGCTCCTTATGTAAACAGTTTTTCACTATAGGGCTGTGATATGGTTCAAAAAATGTAATCACTCTATATTAGTATTTGACTCTAATGGGTTTTTTAACAAATTTGAAATGACGAACCAGGGAAAAAAAGCCTGGATTTAAATTTTACTCCTATCTAACCTTTAAAAAGAGATTGACTAGACCACCAACCTTGCTTAGCTTGGCCTTGAGAGGTTGAGAGGCTAAATCCTTTCCTCTGCCTGCACCCCCAGAATACTGAGGAGTTCTGGATAATATATATTTTCTGTTGATAATGATCATATATTTACACAAAAATGGGTAAAACGGTGTCAGAGAAATGTGTATAGCCATAGAAAAACACCCAGTTCTACAAATTTCCAAATTAGTGAACCACTTATAATTTAATTTAAGTAATAATATGATTTTTGAAGGCTTCAGAGGTTGTTTGTAGAACAACGGTGAACAAATGCATCTTTGAAACAAAGAACACCAGGTAAATCAGAAATAAAGTTGTGCAAAAGTGAGTTTGGGTCATTTAACAACATCCCAAACATCTGAGAAATTAGGAAAATTTAAAAATCCAACGAGATGCATTTTTGGAATTAAAGCTCAAAGGGTCAAAAGACTAATATTAACTGGAGAGTTAGACAAAACCCCAGTGGTCAATTTAAAAGAACTAAATTTTTAAATTAGAGCCATTAAGGAGAGGATTACATTGAAGGTGAGGCAAAAACTGAGCCGGACCCAGGTGGTAGAAATGTCAGCTGTTTTAGCTTTGGATGCACCCATTCAAAAAATCACTTCCAAGGCTGATACTTGGATTAGGGTATCTGCAGATCCTTATAGCTTTCTGATGTCATAGCTACGTTTGCTTTAATGCTATTACCATTACTGCTCATTTTGATTTAAAACATTTTAAGAGGCTGTTACTTTTAATATGTATAAATGTAGGCATGTATATATCCGAAAAGGCAGATTGAGTTTAATAAAGGTAAAAAAAAAAAAACAGTAGATTGTGCAAACAGGACAAATTTCATTCTGAAGACAAAGATGCAAGTGTAAGGGTTCAAATTGACAAAGAAAGATGTTAAAAAATGGACAAACTTTTTAGCCGTTCAAGAGCTTTTTAACCCAACTTACAGGTGCTGGTCATAAAATTAGAATATCATGAAAAAGTAGATTGATTTCAGTAATTCCATTTAAAAAGTGAAACTTGTATATTATATTCATACATTACATACAAACTCATATATTTCAGATGTTTATTTTGTTTAATTTTGATGATTACAAATGACAACAAATGAAAATCTCAAATTCATCATATCAGAAAATTAGAATATTACTGAAGACCAATAAAAACAAAGGATTTATAGAAATGTTGGCCAACTGAAAAGTATGAACATGAAAAGTATGAGCATGTACAGCACTCAGTATTTAGTTGGGCCTCCTTTGGCCTGTATTACTGCAGCAATGCGGCGTGGCATGGAGTCGATCAGTCTGTGGCACTGCTCAGGTGTTATGATAGCCCAGGTTGCTCTAATAGTGGCTTTTAGCTCTTCTGAATTGTTGGGTCTGGTGTATTGCATCTTCTTCTTCACAATACCCCATAGATTTTCTATGGGGTTAAGGTCAGGAGAGTTTGCTGGCCAATTAAGAGCAGGGATACCATGGTCCTTCAACCAGGTACTGGTAGCTTTGGCACTGTGTGCAGGTGCCAAGTCCTGTTGGAAAATGAAATCTGCATCTCCAAAAAGTTGGTCAGCTGCAGGAAGCATGAAGTGCTCTAAAACTTCCTGGTATGTGGCTGCGTTGACCCTGGACCTCAGAAAACACAATGGACCAACACCAGCAGATGACATGGCACCCCAAACCATCACTGACTGTGGAAACTTTACACTGGACTTCAAGCAACGTGGATGAAGTGCCTCTCTTCTTTTCCTCCAGACTCTGGGACCTTGATTTCCAAAGGAAATGCAAAATTTACTTTCATCAGAGAACATGACTTTGGACCACTCACCAGCAGTCCAGTCCTGTTTCTCTTTAGCCCAGGCAAGACGCTTCTGACGCTGTCTGTGGTTCAAGAGTGGCTTGACACAAGGAATGCGACAGCAGAAACCCATGTCTTTCATACGTCTGTGTGTGGTGGTTCTTGAAGCACTCACTCCAGCTGCAGTCCACTCTTTGTGAATCTCCCCCACATTTTTGAATGGGTTTTGTTTCACAATCCTCTCCAGGGTGCGGTTATCTCTCTTGCTTGTACACTTTTTTCGACCACATCTTTTCCTTCCCTTCGCCTCTCTATTAATGTGCTTGGACACTGAGCTCTGTGAACAGCCAGCCTCTTTAGCGATGACCTTTTGTGTCTTGCCCTCCTTGTGCAAGGTGTCGATGGTCGTCTTTTGGACAACTGTCAAGTCAGCAGTCTTCCCCATGATTGTGTAGCCTATAGAACTAGACTGAAAGACCATTTAAAGGCTTTTGCAGGTGGTTTGAGTTAATTAGCTGATTAGAGTGTGGCACCAGGGGCCATCAATTTTGAACCTTTTCACAATATTCTAATTTTCTGATATGATGAATTTGAGATTTTCATTTGTTGTCATTTGTAATCATCAAAATTAAACAAAATAAACATCTGAAATATATGAGTTTGTACAGTATGTAATGTATGAATATAATATACAAGTTTCACTTTTTAAATGGAATTACTGAAATCAATCTACTTTTTCATGATATTCTAATTTTATGACCAGCACCTGTAAATGTGGTATTTAAATAGACTGAATATCCCTACAGATTGGGCGTATCTTTAAAAAAAAAACGGATCTAGAATTGTCTTCTACATCAGGATAGACGCAGATATTAATATCAGATTGGTGCATCTCTAGTCTTGATGTATGTCTTTGGTACCATATTCATGTTGAAGAATTTGAGTATCGAGCAAATGGTATCGAGCCAATGGAGAATCCCTGATTTGAAGGATGGATGAATAGTTTCTGTCAAAGGCAATCTTATCTTAAGCTTTTTTTACAAAGACACGTGGGAGTGAGGTTATCTCTCTCTGTGAGTGCAAAGCTGGTAGAGACATATCCCAGAGGACCTGAAACTACGACTCAAGGTGGTTCTACAAAGAACAGGGAAGGCATACTTGATGCAAATGCACACCACACCTTTCAGGCTTTGATTTTTAAATGTTATCAAAAACCTAATTTCATTTTTCTTCCATATCTCAATCATTCACTTCTTAATGTCAGTTATGTAAAATTTGCTGTATTGTAATAAAGTATGCTATAAGGTGGAAGTGGTATTTGTACATTTGTGGTACATTACTGATGCCCCAAATGTCCTTCATGAAAATAATACAAGTCTGGTATGATAGGAGTTGGTTTCTGTGACGAACACTCACCCAGAACACCTAACAAACTTTTCTGATTTTAAAATGCTAACCCAGGCTGTTTATGGAATAATGGGATGGAAATCTACCCATGAGCTTAGTGATGTTTTTATATACCAACAGAGGGGAGTTGTTAATGTCTAACAGGAAATTTATCTCAAGTAAAGAAACTACTCTATGCTGTTATTTAACTCTGCACATTCTTTTCTATATTAGCTTTTATTGGAACCGATTGGCATAGTTTCAGGTGCAGTGAATAAATAAAAAAAAAAAAAAAAAAGAATATATATATATATATATATATCACTTTGAGAATTAAAGTATTTTTTTTTTTAGCAAACTACACAAAAAAACACAACAAATGTGTATATTTTTGTTTTCGCTTGGAGGAAGTGATGATTTAAAAGGAGGGTTTTATTATAACTCATCATACATCAGTTTACTGACACTAGCCATGCTGTGAGCAGGTGGGTATAATACCACCGCTCAGACGCTGCAACACTAAATCATCTTAAACAAAACAACATAAATGGTAAAACTTAGATGGGGAAAGAGCAGGAAAACATTGTGGCGGAAGAAAATCTACTACTTTTGTGCCATAACACAGTTTTTCTTCTTCAAAATATATTTTAAAAAAAATCCTCTGTAAAATATCCACTTTAAAGAAAACAAAAATTGTTTGTTGTCCACTCTGCCTCTTTTTATATTTTTTTTCTCTCCTCTCTCCATAGAGAAGGGGACTGGTGGCTCGCCCGGTCGCTCACCACAGGAGAGAGTGGCTACATCCCCAGCAACTATGTGGCTCCATCCGACTCCATCCAAGCTGAAGAGTATTTCCTTACGTTATATCTACATGTTACTTGATTGCTGTTATATACTGTATAGTTATGACTGCGTACCGTTGCCATGTATGCAGTTGAAATGATTCTAATAGTATTTTATAGGTACATGTGGAGCTCCTGCTGTTCTTTTCAGCAGCTCAGCTGGACTTCCCTCTGATCTTCCTTTTCTTTGACCGACTTCGGCAGGTGGTATTTTGGGAAAATCACTCGACGTGATTCTGAGAGGCTCCTTCTGAACCCGCAGAACCGACGAGGAACCTTCCTGGTGAGGGAGAGCGAGACGACTAAAGGTGAGAGGGCAGGCGCTTGATTTGCTTCAGTGGCTACAGTGTTCATTAAGATCCATCATCAGGATTAGGGCTAATGGCTTCATCTGCAGAGACTCATAATGGTGTCATAAATCAGACGTGTTCAGTTATACTGTCCAATTTAGAGCATGTTACAAGCCAAATGCCATTAAAAAAAATAAAATAACTGCTTATAGCTTAATGCTACATTTGAAATCTCATTAAGGTAAAGCTGACCATCAGGGGGTTTAGTCTAGAAATGGAGCAATATATTCCTTCCTTCTGTGTTGTTGTTGTTGTGTCATTATCATGTAATAAAAAGTTACATTTTTAAGCCAAGTAGTAAGTCTCTGAATTAAATACCTGCTAATTGTGGAATTGGACAAAAACTAGCATGTAGAATATAGAATAGAAAATCCCTTAATTGTCCCACAATGGGGAAATTCTGGTGTTACAGCTGCAAAAAGATTAAAAGAAAATGGTCACACAAATGTGGACCTTAGAAAAGTGTATAAGAATAACATGATAGTGAAGAGTTAAAAGATAAACAATAAAATGCTGTACTGTAAAGTGTAAACTGTGCATCTGTAGAATAAATAAATAACCAAAAAACAGCTACGGACATTTTTTCAGTAACGAAAATTTGAAAATAGCAGCAACATCAGAGATGTGCAAAATGACAGCAGCAGGTTATTTAACTGATTACGGTAGAAATTGTGCAAACTCAGAATGAATGTAACAACTTATTGAGGTTTTTGGGAACAGTGGTGGTTATAGTGTCTTCCAGCTGCTGGGAGGAAGGATCTGTGATAACGCTCCCTGGTGAATTTAGGGTGCAGCAGTCTGTCCAGTTCTGCAACAGCTTCATGCATGGGGTGGGAGACATTATCCAACAGAGATGTTCATTTAGTTAGGATCATTTTGTTTCCCGCCTCCTGCACTGAGCCCAGAGGACCTCCAGTCACAGAGCTGGCCTTTCTGATCAGCTTATCCAGCCTCTTTTTATCAGGTACAGATAAGCCACTGCTCCAACTATTTTTTATTTTTTTTCCTAATTTTTCAATGTATTTTTTTAGGTAAAGGTCTCTTCACGCATGCGCTGCTCAAGCTCCTGTTTTACATCCTTCTTCCTGACCTCTATCAGACTTCCCTCTCGCTTTGCTGCGTTCGTTATCCATTCCAATGCATGACGTATTGGTATCGGCACTAAAACTCTCCACTTATTGACAATGCTTATAATGATGCAGAGTAACCTTTTCAACTTTCCTTTTTTTTCTTTTTTTCCTTTTACATCATACCCTCGCTCTACCATTCAACACAAGCTCTGCCCTGAAGCCCCTCTCATTATTTCACACTGAGAGAACATCCAGAGCGGAATACAATTTTAACAGTAAGAATGAGTCCAGCTCCGATTGTCTTAACGTTCTCCTGAAAATCGGGGAAAGGCTAGTGATTGGTTATCATCATGCTTTGCATACATAGTCAGTAATAGCAGCTTTTCCAAAAAAAAAAAAGAATTAAATAAATCAGATCTAAAATCTAGGTTATGAAGAAGTTAGCTCACGGGTTAAAACTGTGTGGAAAAAGAGGCAACAGTTCCCAACAGATTGCGATCACTTTGATATGAGTAAATCTTAAGGGACGACATTTAAAAGAGGCAGAAGCTCATAATGAAGTTATTTTCTTTCAGCCTGTGGCTTACTGCAGCTTTGTTTTCTAAGCTCATGACTGAGATGTTGCCTTGTCTTCAAATCTGTAGTCGGATGTAGCCTCTGTGAGATAGAAGGACCTGGAAAAGGGCTGTTTTTGAGAAAGTCTGGGAGGATAAAGAAAATGAGTGTTGTGGGTTGGACCTGTGAATGGATAGGGGTGAATCACTCACCCTTAACTAGGTCAGCCTTGAAGGGGGCAGCCCCCCCCCACTCCCCCAGGCTGTAAGTCACACACACACAGAAGAAGAAGAACAGTGGTAGAAAGGCTTGAAGAGTGTAGAACTGTGAAGGGGCAAAACAAGAAAAAAAAAGAGAAGGATCGAGAAGAGGAGGAGCTCTGGCAGGAGATGCATTGCCTCAGGGTACGTTCTGTATTAGCTGTCAAATGTTTGGTTCTCGGTGTGACAGAGATGAGCTGGAGCAAGCTGCTGACATGTCGAGACAGCAGCAACAATCTGATCTCTGCAAACACAGGCTGCGGATGCACATGGAGATCAATCATTTAAGCTTTATCAGAGATTTGTTTGGGAATAATAACCTACTTGGACAGTCAATATGTTTCGGGTGGCTCAAAATAAAAAAAAAGCTTTAAGCTTCACTCAAGGAAAGGGTTGAATTAAAGCATGTTTGGTCAGAACAGAAGGTGAGGGGTTGAGCTGGTGGAGAAGAGCTGCCATGTGGTAAGCAGGGTGGATAAACACTAGGAAGAGTAACTCATCTGCCCTAGATTTTTTTTTCTGTCAGAGAAAGAGATAAGATCAGTCAACAAATCTCCAGATAAGTAGCAATCCTTTTTTTCTCTTTCTTTTTTTTGCCTTTCCATTTCCCACTGGAACCGCTTTCCTTTAGACTTCACGTATCCAAAGGCAATTCATTTTTCGAATCAATCATTTTACATAATCTTTTATTCATTTGACCAGTTAAAATCTTCCCCAAAATGATTTATAATTGATGATTTAAAGTATATTTTGAAATATTTAGGTTATAGAAACATAAAAATGTAGCCAATTAACCAAAAGGAAAATATGATTTTAATCAGCTGAAAAAAGCTGATTAAAGGAAAATAAAAGTTTTACGCTGCAGTTTGTTCTATATATTTGTCGGCAGGTGACGTATGATTAACCTTGATCTTGTTAAAGTAACAAATATAATTAATGCAAAAATATTATTTGGTTCAGTGCCGTTTAGATTTATAAGCATGTGTTACTGATGAATAACTGTTAGTTTAAGAAACAGGAATCGACCAAGTAAATGTAGGATGCAGCTGAATTGCTTCCCCTGCTTTTGATGCTCCTTAATGAAACAAAATGTACCAGAAGTCTCCGTGTGGAAGCCATGATAAGAGCCTGTTTGAGTCCTTTTTTATGTCAACCAAAAGAGGTTCAGTGGCTCCTTTATGTCCATTAGCATCAGATCCTCTTATCACTTCAAAAGAGATGTGTTTCCCTAATTAATTGCAGCCTAATCATTAACAATCCTTCTTGTTTTCATCCACTCAAAGGAAACATGATTCATGAGAAGTAGATGGTTGGAAGGATAAGTTTTTGCAGTGAGTTTCTCTGTAAAATGAAGCTTTTTCTTTTAAAATGTTTTTTAAAAGACAAACTATTAGAACATAACTATTAGTTTGTTTTTTCATCTTTTTGTCCTAAGTACTACCAGAGTAGTAGACAAATAATGTGATGCTTATATGCTTATTTTGAAAAGAAATAAAATAATAGAAGTCTGTTTATTGGTGATTCATTGTGGCTGAAGAATGAAGCTAAAGTGAATGTTCATTTTTTACATTTGGACAAAAACTAGCATGTGGAATATAGAATAGAATAGCCCTTAATTGTCCCACAATTGGGAAATTCTGGTGTTACAGCAGCAAAAAGATAAAAAAAAAATGTTCACACAAATGTGGACCTTTATAAAAGTGCATAAGAATAATAATAGTGAAGAGTTAAAACATAAACAATAAAATACTGTACTGTAAAGTGTAAATTGTGCATCTGTAGAATAAATAACCAATACACAGCTACATTTTTTCAGTAATGGATATTTGAAAATAGCAGCAACATCAGAGATGTGCAAAATGACAGCAGCAGGTTATTTACTAATTAAAGAAGAAATTGTGCAAACTCGGCATGAATGTAACAACTTATTGAGGTTGTTGGGAGCAGTGATGGTTATAGAGTCTTACAGCTTCTGGGAGGAAGGATCTGTGATAACGCTCCCTGGTGCATTTAGGGTGCAGCAGTCTGTCACTGAAGGAGCTGTCCAGTTTTGCAACAGCTTCATGCACGGAAAGATAAGTGTTTGCAGTGAGTTTCTCTGTAAAATGCAGCTTTTTCTTTTAAAATGTTTTTTTAAAAGACAAACCATTAGAACATAACTATTAGTTTGTTTTTTCATTTTTTTGTAGCACTACTACCGGAGTAGTAGTAATAATGTGATGCTTCTATGCTTATTTTGAAAAGAAATAAAATAATAGAAGTCTGTTTATTGGTGATTCATTGTGGCTGAAGAATGAAGCTAAAGTTTACGTTCATTTTTTACATCAAGCTCCAAGCTGGAAAAGAAATCCCATGATAGTGGGGATGTACAATGAGTGGACTGAATTTTGAAAGCGCTGAGCCACATTCACCCTCCTCTAGTTGTGAGTCTGCTAACAAAATGTGCATTTAAAAAGATCTGATGGCAGCAGAATAAAACATCTCCTGTATTACATCTTTTATACTGTACCAGCTCTGACTTGGCCTAAGAAAGGAGACTTATTACTTTAGTGTTTAAACACATTATCTGTACCTCTTTTAATGCTGGTTGAATTAGGTTGGCACAATACAATATTTAGCTTTTTGCTCTTTTTTTCCTTTTTTTCTGGTCTAACAACAGGAAGAAGTTGAGTTTAGTTTTGAGTCATTCCCTGGTTCCGTGTTCTGACTTTAGAGGTAAAAATGTCCATCAACTTGTGCTACACTCGCTGTGGTTCGGTAAAGTTCTTTACATTTTTCCTTTGCATATTAAGGAGTGTTTCCTAATTGAGGCAAACAGCTGAACAGCTCATCTTTCTATGTCTAACCTTGGAAATTGCTACGAAAGTTTCACTAAAAGGCGACTAAACCACCCTCAGTGTTTGTTGCACCAATCTGAAAACCATGGCTGTAAAATCGTTTTTACAACTAAACTTTGGTTTCACTGATTCTGATCCACTGACAGCTTTTATTATAATGTTTGCACATTTTTTGTTTTTCCACCCTTTTTTGGAAAGAAAAAAACCGTTAAGGAAGTGAAAAAAGGGAATAGTATGGAAGAATCGTATGTTTACCTACATTTTTAGTCACATGTTTTAATTGATGCATTTAAAATTTAGAATTGGATTAGTGATGTGAGATTTTTATAGTCTGGTTATACAGTTTAATAATGTTTTATTCATAATAAACAATATAATCTAAATGGTATATTTTTGGTTTTGAAGACATGTAGTAGTATAAATGTATACATATGCATTTTTTATTTTCCTTCATATACAGTGAAGCATATTGGATGTTGGCCACTTGAGTGCATTGGACTTAGAAAGGATAACGGCAAGAGATGTGATTGGACAACATGTTGGAATTCTGGAGTTCTTTGGCACAAATATTAGGAAACTCCTCAGAGCAGCTGTCACGGCGCCTCAGAGCCGCCTGGTTTTATTGTTCTGATCTATCCCCGTCTGCTGTGTTTGCCTTGCCCACAGGGGCGTACTGCCTGTCAGTGCTGGATTATGACAACACCAAAGGCCTCAATGTTAAACATTACAAGATCAGGAAGCTGGATAGCGGCGGGTTCTACATCACCTCTCGCACCCAATTCACCAGCTTGCAGCAACTAGTCTTCCACTACCGCAGTGAGTATTTAGACAGTGCTGCTAGTTAATGTTGTACAGCACTCCTGTCATTAATCTGTTTTTTCTTTACTGTTTCTCTTCCATCAGAGCACTCGGATGGGTTGTGTCATGCTCTGACGGATGTGTGTCCAGTGGCCAAGCCTCAGACGCAGGGTTTGGCCAGGGATGCCTGGGAGATTCCACGAGAGTCCCTTCGCTTGGATGTTAAACTGGGGCAGGGCTGCTTTGGAGAAGTCTGGATGGGTAGGAATCTCTCATGTCAGATCAGATTTACTTTAAACATCCAACCTAAGAGGGTCCCTGACTTATTTTTATCATCCCTGCTGTGAACTAAATTGTTTCCTTCATTCTTCGGAGTTTGGGTCCCAGGGGCGGCAGGTTTAGGAGAAAGGCCAAGATGTGACACTCCTGCAGCAGTTTTAGGAAGAAGAGGGAGAGTTTTACTGTGTCTGGTCCCCTTTATATAAGATAGGCCTGGCAAACTTCCAAAGGGAGGCTCCAAGGAGGTATCCTGATGCCCAAACCACACAACTTTACCTCTTTAGGTGTAGAGCTCCTCACTAATGCAGAAGCTCCTCATCCATACTACAAGGCTGAGACAAGCCAGACTACAAAGTAAGCTGACTTCAGCCTCTTTTATTTGGTTTGTGTGCTTTTGGTCGTTACCAAAGTTGATTAGTGGGATAAAAATGGACCAACAAATCAATAGCTTCACTTTCTACTTGCCTCTTTGTCCAACATGCCAGATAAAAGCACCATGGCCCATTAGACCAGGCCTTACTCTGTTTCTCCATTTTCTGCTCCATCCTATTATCACTTATTGTGAGCAAAACTCCAAGATGCCTAAACTATTCTACATGAGATGAACTTCAACCATAAGAAAACTGTCATCCTTATTTAGCCAATTTAGTTTCAATTTAAATCATGCAATCAGATTAGTTTAAAGTTTTTATCTTTTCATGGCTTTCAAGAGTTAAAATTAGGACAAAATAAATGTTTCATAAAGAGAGAGCACAGAACATTTTATGTTAAAAAAAGAAATCATTCCAAACTAATGACAAATGTAGACCTAAAAACATATTTATGGGTCTTTAAAGTCTTTCTGTTATCAAAATTATATTAAAATGTTCTTTAAAAATCAGCTAAAGCTGCTAAGAATTCTTCCATTTGTAAATGTACTGAAATCAAAACCACTAATTGGTCCTTTTATAGTTTTTAACCACTATTAAGAGTAGTTGTAGAGGCTACAAAGAGCCATAGGTTGCAGACCCCTGCAGTTGAATTATACTGTATAGATCTAATATTATACTATGGGTAGGATGAACTATACCATTTATGGAGTGAACATATGTTACATTGAACCACCATGGTATTTTTAGGGTTTAACAGCATATTAATGAATGATTCAGATCAATCCTAACAAATGGCCGTATAGCTCATAGAGGAGCAGAATGTGCTTTAGTGCATTGAAGTTCTTGTATCTTTGACAGGTACATGGAACGGTACAACGCGGGTAGCCATTAAGACCTTGAAGCCGGGCACGATGTCTCCAGAGGCCTTTCTGCAGGAAGCACAGGTCATGAAGAAGCTGAGGCATGAGAAGCTGGTCCAGCTGTACGCTGTAGTATCTGAGGAGCCCATCTACATTGTGACGGAGTATATGAGTCAAGGTAACATAGGAAGGATATTCTACCCATAGGAGGCTATTAAGTCTTGAAGGTCACATGAAAACAAATTATATTTGTTATTCGTATGGTCAATTTAAATGAACTTATTTGCAGTTAGTCTCCCTCTGTGTTTGCAGGTAGCTTACTAGACTTCCTGAAAGGAGATGCTGGAAAGATGCTTCGTCTGCCACAGCTGGTGGACATGGCTGCTCAGGTAAACATCTAAAAACATCCATATGATTTACTGTGTCTTAGTGTGAGGAATCTGAGTAAAACCCTGTTGGTTCTCCCAGATTGCAGCAGGTATGGCTTACGTAGAGAGGATGAACTACGTCCACAGAGACCTGCGTGCTGCCAACATCCTGGTAGGAGACAATCTGGTGTGTAAGGTGGCCGACTTTGGTCTCGCTAGACTGATTGAAGACAACGAGTACACGGCAAGGCAGGGTAAGTCATTTCTAGAGGGAATATTAGCAAAACGTTTCTTTCTTCTATGACGTGCTATATGCTACAAGTGGGGAAGTTCAACACTTGAGTTCGTCTTCTTTCTTTAGGTGCCAAATTTCCAATCAAGTGGACCGCACCAGAGGCTGCGCTGTACGGCCGTTTCACTATAAAGTCAGACGTCTGGTCCTTTGGGGTTCTACTAACAGAGCTTGCAACCAAAGGCAGAGTTCCCTACCCAGGTTTGTGTTCGCTTTAGAAAGAAACTCTTCTAGTCCATACATCCAATCATTGTCCATTTATCCTTGCAAGGTGTTTGGGGACAGTCTGCAGTCATTGGGCTAAAGTCTGAGTTTTCCCTGAACACATCATCAATCACGCTACATGCACTCACTACCCAAAGATCAATATACCTGACGGTCAGCCCTGCTGAGGGGGAGCACGAAAAATCCACTCACAAACCTCAGACAAGAGTTTGAACCAAAGACATCACTGAAAGAAAACTGTCCCACATTAGCTAGCTTTCCCACACTGCAATTCAATTCACCAATTCACAACACATGTCATCTCAAGGCACTTTACAGTTCACCAGGTAATACAGTCAAATTGATTCAGAGTTTTCTATGTAAGGAAAACTAGTTGATTGCATCGACTAATTGATTCAAAGGCAATCCCTTACACTAAGCATGCTTGTAGCGACAGCGGAGAGGAAAAACTCCCTTTTAACAGGAAGAAACCTCCAGCAGAACCAGACTCAGTGTGAGCGGCCATCTGCCGAGGCCGACTGAGGTTCAAGGAGACAGAAGCAGAGATACAAAAGTTCAATTCAGTTTATTTCTATAGCGCCAATTCACAACACAAGTCATCTCAAGGCACTTTACAAAAAAAAAAAAAGTCCACTGTAAAAAGTGCCCCGTCTAGGAAACACACAGCCAGACAGACGAGCTTTGAGGATGAAGAGAGCACATCCAGCCAGTCACAGTCAGAGAAACAGGACTACACTAAAAAACAGGCCAAATTTATACATCTATAAACTAAGGTTTTGATAGCAGCACAGCTGATACTTTTCTCCAGGGTGGTATCACAGCCAAACAGAAACAGATCAGATGAAGCTACAATGAGAAAAAGCAGAGAAAGCAGAACGCTAGAGATTAGATTCTGCAGTGGTAGAATAGAGAGAATGATGAAAAAGGGGTCCCTATGTCCTCCAGCAGTCTAAGCCTATAGCAGCATTACTATAGAGATAGCACAAGATAACCTGAGCCACTCTAACTATAAGCTTTATCAAAAAGGAAAGTTTTAAGCCTAGCCTTAAAAGTAGACAGGGTGTCTGCCTCATGGACTAAAACTGGTAGTTGGTTCCACAGGAGAGGAAACTGATAACTGAAAGATCTGCCTCTCATTCTATTTATGAGATTCTAGGAACCACTGCAGACTCCTCTTCTTGTCTGACAAACTAATTTATTGAAATAAAGAGTAAAGGATTTTAACTAAATATAGATTAACTTAATGATTCCCTTATATTTCTTTTATAAGGGTTTAAATTTTGTGTTTTTACTGTATTTAGGAAGGTATAAAAGTGACTTTCTGTTTCTCTTTGCAGGTATGGTTAACAGAGAGGTGCTGGATCAGGTGGAGCGTGGCTACAGGATGCCTTGTCCAGCAGAGTGTCCCACTTCACTGCATGACCTCATGCTTTCCTGCTGGAGGAAGGATCCAGAGGAGAGGCCTACATTTGAGTACCTGCAGGGCTTCCTAGAGGACTACTTCACCTCAACAGAACCCCAGTATCAGCCTGGGGAGAACCTATAGAACCACGTACTGTACAGAGCCTGAGCGGGGAGTGTTGCCTCAGCACTGAATGATCTGCACTAACCGACCTCAGAGGAGGATCTGAGCCTCTGAAACTAATCTGTGAGGAACTTCTTCAGTGGAAACCCAACCGAGACCAAAAGCTGCAGAAGTCCCTCTGTGTTCCACACAGGAACTGTTCCAGAACGAGATGAAATAATCTAAGTTCTGGAATCAGTCACAGCTGACCCAAGTTCTCCTCCAATCCGAGCTGTGGCTGGTTATTCTGACTCAGACTGAGACCTGCAGGTAAACTGTATGTGAGGTGCAGTGGATGTGGGAGGAACCAAATCAGGACGTAGAGATGGAGTGAGAGTTTAGAGAACAAACATCAGGGTGTGAAGGAAAAAGGGAAAGGAATAGATGTGTTTGGAGTAAACTAGTTCCCTCCTCTCTTGCTTCTCTGTACCATAATCCAGTCCCTTCTCCACCACACAAAGTGCTGCTGCTGCGGCTCAGCTGCCAAACTTAAGTCCTTCTCTATATCTTCTCTGCCGCACTTTTGCTTTTTCTCTCCAACTTTCAGTATCTCTTCAGTATTCTCAAGTGCTGCTTCTTTAACGTGTCTCAATTCTGAAACTCCACTCTGCATCTTTTTCTTTCAGTTTATTCCGACAGCCTTTTGCGTTGAAAGGTATATGTGTGTGCGCTTAATGGAAGACAAACTTTCTGCTTTTTGCTTTATTTATATATTTTTTTCACTAGACAAATTTGGTAAACTCCCAATCAAGCAGAGCCAGGAGAAGCTGGCAGGGTTTGTGATGCTGAAATGAGTTCATTTGAAGCCCTTTTCTCCTGTTTATCGTGTTTAATCCAAACCTCCATTAAAACGACTCTGATGCAGGTTCTGTCTGAATGCGTATTGTTTTGTTAGACCTTAGTTGAAAGCAAACAGCTCTGTCACAGGCACATAAACAAAAAAAACAGCGCTGATCAAATCTGTTTAATGTCACAGGCACATTAGGCAACTTTAGCATGAGGAAGAAACATCAAGCCGGTAACTTCCATGAAATAGTCGTGGTCAAGGCTGATATGACCAATTAGACCAGTTATATCAAATACAAGTCCTTTGTATTCTGTGCCAAATATCCATATGTACATATATATGCTGGCAAACTGACATTCAGAACAATAGTTAAGTGAGTTATTTTTTTAAACTTGCATCATTAAAAAAATATATGCAACTTCGAAGCCCTAAAGAAGTGGTAAACCTCTCATCAGGTAAACCTAATAAAACTGTTTGAGTTCATTTTGATGATTATTAGCATGTTTTTCTGCTCTTTTATTCTTGACGGTTGGTTGGTTTTGATTTATGCTGTATATCCTGTGCATTCAAGGTTCAGCTGAGACACGGGGATCATTTACAGACTCTTATACACTGGTCATCAAATCCTTCCCCACCGTTTTTCTTTTCTTTCTTTTTTTTCCGGGTCACTCTTGTACATATTGTAGCTCATAAAGTTCACTTTTTGCAATCCATCTTTCACATTCAAAAGGCAGGTGGGCATCTCACGTTTCACATGAAAGTAGAAGGAGCTGGTTAGATGTTTTAGAAGTGTTGATAAGGACCATGCAGCAATAAGAGATGGACGTCCACCAACAAGCAGACCACCGTCTCCATTGTGGCTAAATTAATGACCTGCCTCACTGATGAATCACAGGCAGGCAGTGCAGGTAGTAATTATACCGTATAATAAGGTCAAAGATGTAAATATCCTAATCAAATGACTGTGACGATCATGTTTTTTTTGTGTGTAGCTTCTCTTCCATTTCACTTCTTTTAACAAACGCCTACCCTATCGAATCTTAGTGATATACTAAGATTACTACAAACAGGGCTGATAAATGTTTTTTTTTTTATAGTTTTTAAATCTCTCACTAAAAAAACGACATCACAATTGGGCTTGAGGTAAATACAAAAGAGTAAGGGCGCTCTGTGACATTTGCGCTTTTCTTTTTTTAGAATGGGAATTACCCTGTTGATGTGGACACTGAGCCACCACTAAGTCACCGCAGCTTTGGGGAAGTAAGCAGGCGTGTGACAAGAATGAGTAACTCTGAGGTCAAACTGTGCCATATATTTCAAATAGTGTCTCATTCTTCCCCTTTTCTTCATTATTTGCTTCAATGGTTTATAAATCTATGCAGTTTTTCTTGCATTACTACAACTTTATGAGCGTTTTGTTCTAAAGTCAAAAACATGATCGATGACAAACAGTTTGAGCGTTTTGTAAGGACTTCTCATCTATTTTTGTTTTTATGTAACAGGATTGAAATAGGTATTGTGCCACTTTATGTTCTTTTAAATGTGCAATAAATTATATTTGAACTGTGTTTTGATAAAGATGTGTGTGCTGGTGTGTGTGGAACCTGACGGCACGCAGTCATTTGTGCATAACAAGTTGGCTCGCAGGTCAAATGCTGAGAAAGTTTAACAAGTCGCTCCAAATAAGATGGCGAAATCTGTTCCGTTGCTAATAGAGCTGATGGTTTTTAAAGCGTAACCAGTAAAGCACAGCATGGTGATAAAGAGGAAGCCTACCTTGAGTGATTTAACCTTGCAACCTTGACCTTCAGTTAATAATTTGAGGTTTATAGCTTTTGACCACCTCGGTCAATTTTTAAAAGTAAGATATTAAAGGTATAATGGAGGATTTGGGCAATTTTTTTGAAAAGACCTGCCTGCTCCACTTTAAAAAAAATGCCCTTGCACAACCATTACCTGCTCCTGAGAATTAAAGCCTATTAAACACGTGTGAGAGCATCCATCATCCCCTTTCTCCTCATCCACGCCCTGTTTAAAAGTTGCTGTTTGCATCACTCATACAAGTTTACTTTCCAAATGAAGGTTTGCATTTTTTTTCTACTATGTCAGACTCACCACTGGTAAGTGAAAATGGGGACGAGCGCCTTATGTAAACATACTGTATCACCACACAATGATTGACAATTAGGAGGACCATTTATTGAGATAGTCCACCCAGAAAAAAAACATCCTCCTCTATACCTTTAAGATTATCAAAAATTTATTTAAATATATGTATGAAAGGATTTTTTGTTTTGTTTTCATGTGGTCAATTTGATGCTCACCATTAGGATACAGTTTTCACTGGTTTGGGTACCAGAATGCAACTAATCGTCACTTGAAGGAAAAATTATGCTTAAAATATTAAGTCTAAAACTGATTATTGGGATTTTTGGAGCCAATTAAAAAGATGCATATAAAACATCTAACTGAATGAAACCAATGGAAAGGGAGGGTAGCTGAGTGAATTGCTTTGTATGCCTTATAAAAAATCAATTCTGCATAAATTTACCATGGAAATTGACCCTGAATAACAATAAAGGAGGAAAAGACTTGCTGGAATGTAGAGTAAATGTGTTTGAAAGCAGTGAATTTGTTTTATCATAGCACAACTGACAGGGAAACAAAGTGGGTTACTTTAAACTAATAAAGTACAATATTCTGATCAAATAATCCTTGATTTTGAATTTGAAAATGGGTTTAATTGCATGTAGATAAACACATGTAGAGCTTATTTAAGATTTTTGTACCATGTTAAGTTTGTTTAGGATGTTTGATAATGGCCGGTGGAGCAGGGTTAGATTACATTTCTGTAGATGTCAAACATACCTGCTTACACAGCTAAAAACAAAGGAACCAAGTGTTTCCAGCAGTGATGAGGCAGGCTGTGTTTGTTTATTCATTTGACTGGGAGCATGCTCACTAACATTCATCTGATTATTATACAGCACTGTGTTGAGTCATTGTCTAATATTTAGCGAGAACAGTCAAAATATCACTACTTAGACAACCAACATAAACCAAAGCTCATAGTAGGATTTAACTCTTAGTTTAGTTCAATTTAAACTATTTTGATATAAATAAAGAATGCTAGACCCAAAGCAAATGGCTTTTTCCTCCACTACATGGAATTATGTACACTTTTAGGAGGAAATTATTTCACATTGTTTTGATCACCTTATAAATCCAGAGGTTATTTTTATTAGTTAGTGTTAAAAAAAACATTTTGATCAGCTGGATGAAGGCTTGTTGCGTTTATTTTGCCGATTTGTTTTCAGGGCTACCTTCTTAAATGGATTTTAATGACAATAAGTGACAAATTAATACTTTATCATCCATGTTACCGTTTTTGTTCATTTGAATATAAACACTACTTTGCAGCAAACAAGGCAAGATCATGAGGTTAAATGTGGTCTGAAAGGTCCTCCTTTGTTTTAAAGGTGAGCATAACTGCTTCCTAGAATCCCACTCGTAATCTTTAATGACGTTATTAAAAGTTAACTATTTAGTTAAATAGTTAACTATTTAACTTACTAGTTATGTTGGCACATTTTTTTTTTACTAATTTCTCATAATGTAGAAGCAGTATGAGAAATTGTATTTTCTTTTTCTTTTCTTTTTTTTAGAACCATATTAGGGCAAGTGACTGTTTTTGGTAAATACAATGACCCTGTTTTTTTTCCCATCAAACTACTTCTGTTTAACATGTTACAAAAGTAATAATGTCTTGTTGTTAATAACACTATTCACTTGAAATGTTGAATTTCAAGACATGTCTCTGATTTCCATATTAATGCTCAGCCTCTGTTTAAGTGAGAGCAGCTTTGTCCACATGGGGGCAGTATTTGTCAGTAGTAAAGACCCTTCCCTACTCAAGCAGAACCAGCTTGTGACCCACCTGCTAGATGGACTGCAAATGTTTTTTGAATGAAAACCTATTTGTGGGATTGTGATTCTATATGTGAGACCAAAAGTAAGAGATCGACAGAACATCGTAGAACAAAAGTAAAAGATCACATATGACTTTCTGGTTATAGCTTTAATCAGCTGACATATTTGTCCAACTGACCATTTCCATTAATGAATAGCTGCTACTTTGCTTTTTCCCCAATCTGTTACTGTACAGTTAAAATCAAATCATTGCTGAAATGCCTCATTTCTAACAGTTCAGTTACTCCATGGGTGTTTATAAAGCATCTGAGCCAAAAAGATTTACAGTTGATAACTTTTTCCTCGTCCCTTTACATGTGTATATTTTGCTTTTCTCAGTTGTGCATGTCTGTATCCATAAATGCAAAATGCATGCAGTATATGTGAGTGCGCTTTTTTCCCCATCTGCTGACCTGCACTGAGAGTCATTTATCTCAGTTATGCAGAAACTGTCAGAGCTCCATCTGTGAAAAGAGTAAACACACTGACTCACACTTTTTAAGTGACAACCACTGATACCAGACAAGAGAGCATGGTGGAATACACTGACTGCACACTCACCCGCATTCAGAGAGCTACGGTTTCTGTTTGTTTTCATCTCATTAGAGTGACAGAAGCATGGCAACCCCAGAGGGAAGATGGATAATAGTCATGTTTTGTCGTGTTCTTTTTTTTCTGTCTCTGCTAATGCTCCAGGTTGCTGTTTGGTTTAAAAATGAATCAAAATGAGCCTGTTGATCATAGAGCCTCATGAAGATATCAGACCTTCTGGCTGCTTGGGTTTGTTTCAATATGCTTAAGCTATAAAAAAAAAAAAATACTGAGCAAATCCTACCTTTCTATCTAATTTCTACCTAAAGTTGCAAAAAAATGTCTTGTTGCTCTTTTTACAGATTTTAAAATATTTCATATTCCTAAAACCTTTTGCAATTTGTTTTTTTATTACATTTTGTCCATCTGTCTGCTAGCTGATATTACTTAATACTTCCATACTAACTATAATGTTATTTTTGATTTATAACACTACACTGGGGAAAAAAATGAAATCTAGATAAGTAATTTTTTCTTAAAATAAGTGCATTATTTCTTGGATTGAGGAGGTAAAAGAGACATTTTGCCAATGGAACAAGACAATTTACATTTAAAATAAGAAAACACAATGATAATTGTCTTATTTCAAATGCATTTTATCTAAATATCTTATTTCAAGAGTAAAAATACTAATTCCATTGGCAAACTATCTCATTTACCTACTCAAATGAAGGGTCAATACGCTTAATTTAAGACTTTTTTTACTTATTTCTAAATCATTTTTCCAGTGTAGAAGTATTTTTGACCAAAACCTTGATTTTCCAGAGGTTTCAGAATGATGAAATCTAATAATTTGACAGAAAAAATACATGTGTGATCACAAATGTAACTTTGGTCAAATTTAAACCACTTTTTTTGCAATTATTTATACCCTCCTCTAATCTTTAGTCATCTAATCTTTCTTCCACTTCTTCTTCCTCTGCCATCCTTGTTTTAGATGAATCTTCATGTGAACCTGGCAGAGCCACTTCAGGAGGTAGATGCACATGTTCTCCATCATCAACTGACTTCAAACAGCAGGTCGATCATGCAGCTACGTGTGCAAACAATCCCTGGAGTTTCTTTTGTGCACTTAATGACTCCCTGAGATGCTGCACAGCTTGGGAACAGTAACAGGATATTCTTCTTGATATCAGAGGATGAACAGGTGTGCAGATGGCCCCGAACTTTAATCAGTCTTCCTTTGTTGCTGAGCCATTTGGAGCTTAACCTGCATTACAACCTTACATGTTGCCTGCCAGGTTGCCACGGGTGTGCAGAGATCTTTGTGGCACAAAGTTGTGCCCTGAAGTTATTACTGATTACAGTCTGCTTGGCAGGAGATTTCCAGCCTCAAGCTAAGCTCTGTCGTGACAGAGTGAGCCGTGTTTGGGTGGTTTTGATATGCATGACAAACTCTGCAAACATCTTCAAGAGACCTTAAAATATGCCCCGCATTTTCTAGTGTTTTTGATGACGGACTGAGTAGAGGATTTAATCTCTCTTCAGTACTGAGTCAAAGGAGTTTTTTGTGTTATCGGACACGCTTTTATAATTTTTTTTCAAAAGGATCTATTGGAGGGTTTAAAGCCCTGGATGAACGAAACGAGTCTTCCTGTTTGAGATAATCTGTTTTCATGGTTGCCAGGCAATTCTCTGTCTTTAGTGCTGCTCTTTCAGCACAGTTGTGTTACTAAGGCTAATACTATGTTATGTAGGCTACATACATGTTCTTTTTACTTTAAACACTTCAGACATTTAAATTGGTAACGGATCAAACTACTTGCAGGGTGTATAAAATGTCATGAGTTATAAAAAAAAAATGTATAAAAAAAATATTTCCTCAATGTTTTACACTTGCAAGCCAATAGTGTGGTAAATGGAAGAACTTATAACAAAGCTTTTATACACATAAAATTTTAAAGAAAGAAATTATTAATCTTATTACAAAGAGTAATTCAGGTCTATTTATTTATTTCTTAATCTTACCTTTTTTTTTTACAGGAAAATCCCATTAAGTTAAAAAATATGTTTGTCAA